CTACTGCAACCACGCTCATTGGTCTTAGTGGAAATGGAAGGTCAGGGGATGGCCATGCCCCTGCCGACATACCTACCTCAACCACAGTTTGGCCTTTACGCAATGGAAATGTCAAGGGAAGGATATGCCCCTGCCGACAAACCTACTTCAACCAAGTTTTGGCCTTAGTGCAATTGGAATGTCAAAGGAAGGGCATACCCCTGCCGACAGACCTACTTCAACCAAGTTTTGGCCTTAGTGCAATGGGAATGTCAAGGGAAGGACATGCCCCTGCCGACAAACCTACTTCAAAGAGACTTTGGCCTTAGTGCAATGGGAATAGCAAGGGAAGGGCATGCCCCTGCCGACAGACCTACCTCAACCACAGTTTGGCCTTAGTGTAATGGGAATGTCATGGGAGCGTCATGCCTTTCCAGATAAACATAGTGCAACACTCTTTTTTGGTATTAGTGGAAAGAGAAAAAGAAGGCAAAGGCATACCATACCCTTCTCTAAATTTTGTTAGTCGAAATATACGACACTATGTGAATGCCTCTCTTTCCTATCCCCTCAATGTAAAAAATATAGCATTGCAGGGATGCGTTCCAACCCACAGAACTGGGCAAATATATAAGTTAATAATAATAATTCTACCACAACTAAATTTTCAGCCAGCTTCCTTCGAATGTCACGGGCACTGAATGTCGTGACATTGGGTATACATTTAGCCTCAGCTAAAAAGAGTATTAGCAGGAATTGAAATGTATTCCCTACATAAAGTTAATACATTGAAGGGATGCGTTCCGGACAGACGTAATCTTAATAAAATTTAAACTTAATACGTGAAATTTTCATGGAGGGAATAGGTAAACGTGTTGAGAAGGACTAGGGTAACTAAGGGTCGATTTTGGGCCCCCCGGTTTTATTGTTTTATTCTGACGGGTATGATGGGAGAATAACAAATCAATAAGGTAAAGTTGAAAAAAATTACCCGCAACCACTTTTTTCGGTCCGAAATTGAAATCGTCGAAAACCCATTTTTTCGAGCTTCGGCGGGTCATAACCTTAAATATTCACCTTCATGACCTGTTTAGCCGTTTAGTTAACAGTTTATTGCACTTCGTTTCATTTATTTACATGCAATAAGCATCCAGCTGCATTGCTGTGAAACTAAAAGCAAGCTTAACATGACAAGGAGTTATAGGAAGACAATTAAGTTATATTTAAAGCATATTTTATGGTTAGAAGCATGTATTTCGATCTTCGACGATTTTTAGCAAAAAATCGGTGACACACCCCACCCACTATTTTTCTTAGGATGTCTCTACAACATGTTAGGCTACAATTTGAACATGGTCTGATAAAGATTTGCTGATTCTATTACTGCTCAAAATATCAAAATACTAACTTATTGAATATTTTTTATTGTTATTTTACGAACTTCGGCGATTTTTAGAAAAAGAACTATGAGACACCCCACCCCTGATTTTTTGATATGTTACGTGAACATATCGTAGCTATAAAATATGGTCAATAAACGAGGCAAAATCGACATACATGATACAGTAAAATCATAAAAACCTGAAAATTTCTAGCTTTTTTTCGGGAAGATTTAAACATTTAACTTGATAATTTTTGTTCGGTATATTTCCTCGAGTTGAAGTGATACTTTTTAGATACCCCAGATAAGTACCTTCATTTTTTCTATTGGGAAGTTTAAGGTATTTCAATCGGTTTTGAAGATATGACCCGCCGAAGCTCGAAAAAATGGGTTTTCGACGATTTCAATTTCGGACCGAAAAAAGTGGTTGCGGGTAATTTTTTTCAACTTTACCTTATTGATTTGTTATTCTCCCATCATACCCGTCAGAATAAAACAATAAAACCGGGGGGCCCAAAATCGACCCTTAGTTACCCTAGTCCTTCTCAACACGTTTACCTATTCCCTCCATGAAAATTTCACGTATTAAGTCTCCACCACCAACCTCAGTAACTATGTACCATTTTAGCACACAATTAATAACTTCCTCACAAATCTTAACCCACAATCTTATTAGTCACTCTGAACAGCAGAATCATTTATTATTTCAGGCGAAAATTCATGTTTCTCAAATCAATCTGCATATGTCTAAGTTCCGATTAAAGCATGAACTTTCACCCCAGTCTTGCCCGTGCCTTCCGTGAGTGATTCCTTTCTCAATTTAATATGCAAAGCTTAACAATATATAAGTCCTGAAGGCTTGCGTGATAGTTTGTCCTTTAAAAAATTAATATTAGATAGTTCTCGCGTGTGTCTTCAGTAGATAAACAAATATCGTCGGGCATGCCACCGTGTTGCCAACCTCTTTAATTTTACCAGAAGGAAAGTCACAAAATAACCACTCTTCTATCACGAACAATCTAGAATATTCTATAATCTTGCTAAATAGTGGAACACTTTGGACCGATAAACCTGCAATCTTTCAGAACCTAAATATTCAAACAAACTGTAACCGTGGCGACCAACCGTAATAAATACCCTGCCAAGCAAGGTAATAAAACTATAAATTTTAACTTTAATTACTTCGAAAGGTCTCATAATATTTGACAATCTCTCACGATCCATCTATACCGTTTCCAGCTTTCAAAAATTCTACAATATCAAACTTACTTATAGATAAGTGTCCGCAAAATCGTTTCCCCAGAGACAACTCTCTAATGAATCCTACCCTCTATTTAGCATTTTCATTCATTTCCCCTGCCCTGCCAACCACGACAAATACAGTCCCCGCCATGACCAGAATTGGACAATGGTTCGAATCCAGCACAATTGATCTCGTCACTTTACACGATTCCGTAAACTCTGCAGAGTTTAACAACTTCACGCAGCACTTTCCAAATTCTCCATACCTCCTGAGTTTTCTACCCCTGAATCTACCCAGTTGTCCCAAGCCCTACCCACTTTTCCGCCTCAGCAAACACTGGCTCACCGTACTCCTGGTCGATTCATCTCAAAATCAACTAATTGCTGTCAGCCATAAACTTCTTTGTTTGCCCTACCAGTACGCCAGCCCGGAATATTTTCTTTTCTACATGAAAACTGGATACTGCATCCAACCCAGCTCCGACCTCTGCCGATGACATTCAAAATTTTAATAGCTCACCAATCTTATCCAAATCTATGGACAATCTGCATTCCATCTCAGTCTTACCAGATCTCGGATTCATCAACCCTACTAGAGTTTGACAACCTATGGAACTCCTGCAATGGCAACCTTCAAAACAAGCCAGTTTCCGACAGAAACAACTTCGATGCCGCATTCGTCCAGCCTAAACAGGGGAAAACGTGTACTCACACATCCTACGAAGCCATGCACTGTAATGTCCTACCCATCGCGGAAAAACGAAATTTTACCCTCGTCGCCGAGTGGTTTAATAAAAATATCCACCTATTTTGTCTCAGGGAGGATTACGAAATCGACTTGGATCTAAACTTCCTAGCCACCAGGGAATACCATGAGTGGGATTATTTTCCCTCTGTCAGGACCCCTTTCAACTTCTATGTAATCATAACTAAACCAAATTCCCTTAAAGGCTTCCAAGCTCTCATCGAGCCATTTCCAATTGATACTTGGGTCCTTGTTTTGTGCGCATGCGCAATAGTCGCTGTATTCATATACGCAGCCGAGTGTCGGCATGCGGGCAGACTCCTCCTAGTTACGTCTCTACTTCACGACTTCTGGTTCGTCTACTCCATCCTAATTTTTCAAAGCAGTTCGCGCGTTGGTCCTCTCGCGGGTAAATGGGGGTTTAAAGCGATCTGGATAGTTGGGTGTTTTCTACTCTCTACCATAATTATTTCATCACTATACCAAGGCGAACTTTCCACCGCTATGACAACGATAGTCTATCCATTCATCCCCCTCACCTTAGAGGACCTTGCCAAGTCCAGTATTCGCGTCATCACTGCCGGAAGAAAAGAGGAGAAGAGTAACCTAGACATGCAAATTTCTACCGCTAAATCGCACGGTGTTTACGGCCCGAGAGTTTCTGGTTATGTGGAAAAAATTCAGAAACGCATATTTCTACTTAAGGATCCCGCCGATAAAGTAGGAATTCAAATGATCCAAGCTGACAAACTGCTTCAGTACGGAGACGGGGAAGAATTAGCCGTTAAGGGCAACATATTTGCCATCATGGATACCAACTCAAAAACTGCCGTAATGGCTAACGGCATATCCTTATCGCCAGACTTTATTGTTTTCAAGGGTAGAGAGGACTTGGCTTTTGACGAGGACGACATGTGGACTTGGGAGCGCAATTTCTTCACCAAATTGTACAAGAGATCATGGCTAGGACTGGTGGAGGGTGGTTTTTCCGAAAGGTTTAATTATCTTAATATGATAAGCCTAGCAAGATTAAGGATGAGCGAAATGGGGAACTATGGAAGGGAGCATTTCCTTAGGGTTTTGTTTAACGATAGGAAGAACAAGGGGGAGGAAGATTTCTTAAAAATTAATCAGGAATCGATGCTGCCTTGTTATTATTTTTTTCTCTTGTTGCTATCCTTCACTTTAATTACTTTTTTTGTCGAGGTTTGCATCAAATTCAGAAATCGTGTCCGCCATATTAGAAAAGGAAAGGCCAGATTGACCAATATGCGAAAATTCAATTTCTATTTCGTAAAAAACGTTCCCACCCAAGAAAGAAAGCATCAAATTTATAGAATTAGGGTCCTATCATTGCCTCAATAGTCTGCGTTCCGGCACCTATTTATGTAAAGTAAATCTAACCAATGCTTAGATGTTCAATTTCATATTATTCATTGCTTCGGCAATCTATAGAGTGGGATATTTTCATGGCCAACAGTTAACGGTTAATTGGCAGGTTTTTACTAATTATACATAATCAGAGTGGTCTGCCTAAGACTTCACTAAATGTCGCAGACACGAGATATTATTTTAAACTTTACTAACGCTTTATGCCCCAGCCACTGTAATAGGAATAATTTTATGACTAAGTAAATTACGGCGCATTCAACATCGCTTTTCAATGAAGGGCTTTATTCTTCCCAAATTTCATCCTTCCTACATAAATATATCACCTCATCCTCCACCATATACTAATTTCTTAGTTCAAACAACAATACCGCCTCTTCCTATTTGGAAATCCGCACCGTTCAATATTCGCCTCGTAGCGGTGTTCATCGCATTTTGGCCACGGGTTCCCGCACCGAGTCCACACGCATGCATTGGGGTCTTGTCCCTCTACCTGGTCCACCTGCATGATCAAAACTCCCACGAAGAGGACCACCGCCAGAAAGAGGGACTTCAAATTCATTTCACGTCAAATTCCTACAGATTCATCAAAATTTTAAAACCCAGTAAACTATCAGAGTTGAATTTAGCGCGTAAAAATAATTCTCGGCGGGGCGAAATTGAAATATTTTCACAAACTTACCTGCCTGAACAACTCCTTCTGATCAGAATATCAAGTTCGCAGTAGGTTTCCCACTTATTTATTTCCAATTGTGGCGCAGCCTCTCTTTTATACGATTGTAGCCAAAGTACCGCGGATGTCTGTCTCTGCCGCAAAAACATGTCAACAATTTAATTCCTAGAATTGGAACCTTATCTAAATGCCAATTTTCCATTATTCCAGCAGTTTTATTATATTTGAGACTCAAAAATATCATAAAACTGCTTGGATAATCCCCTCTCCAATTATTCTGCCAGACTTATGTTTACCCAACTTCTGCGTCATTAGCTCAAATGCGCACTTGTTTTTCGGAGAACACTAAATATTTATTTATTCACAATAATTTCAGCCATAAATCGGTCTCTCAAAGTTTACCGTGTTGATAAACACTACGCAATACACTTACATAAGTCCACGTCAAGGTTTTTTCCCTTTAAAAGATTTAGAGACCAAATTATTGTACAAGATTTTTAATTACATATTTAATTCAATAAAAATTATAAATTGCTCCGACCTACTTAATTAAAACTTTTCAGAAACTTGCAGAATCTCTCAGAAATAGTGGAATTTTTTCCGAGGTCTCCTCTATCTCGCGACTTTACAAGATAAAGAAATCACGCCACGTATGCAGACACTAACCAAATAGGATCCCAACCTATCCATGAATCAGTACGTAACTTCTCACGTCAACAAAAAGTATGGACTTTATAAATATTAATATATCCACCACTACCATTGATATGTACTAAGGTCAGAAAAAAATAAGGAGAAGATAAGCTGATTCGTCATACTAAACTTGAGATGCCAAATATGAATCTAACTTGCGTAATCCATTCCAGTTTACATACTATCCGCACTCATATTTACTTCAAATCCACATCAGAGTGGAGTCTCAACATTTCTACAAGTATGAAATGCTCACGATAACATGAGTATAATTATTCATGTCCAAGATTTACCGCATAAAATATGATGATCCACTAAAGTTGTCCTTCTCCTTAGAAAGTGCATAGGAAAGTTACGGTAAAACCATCTCGAGCAACAATAGCAAGCCAGCGGTATCTTAATTAAGCAAGATTGCCAATTCTTAACCGATTCTAAACTTACTCCATCAATTAAATGAATCTTAGCCCTAGCATGGATATGTATCGTCGATATTCTGACTACATATTACTTCCAAGTCGGGATAGATTTGCACCCTCACATGAAATAATGCATGGAAAAGTCCTAAATTCGTTTCTCCGCAAATTCAAGGCCTTTCGAGAAATTTACAAGGTCAACAAACCTCCTTTTTTTTAATTATAGTACCATGATTATGTCAACCTCTCGCCAAAACGTGTAAATAAATGCTCCAAGTTTTCTCATTAAATTCCTCGCCGAACATATTCATTTTTCCAACCATCACGTTTCATTTGTTTCACAGAATTATGCAGAACTACCACCACGCCAAATAAAAACATCTCAAAATACCCCATTTGCAAATATTTATTATCCCATTCGCGCCTTATTCAAATTTATCATTCCTTCTTCCCCTTACAAATGACCTCATAATTCCGAAGCATACAATCGTATACTTTCTGAAACGCTGGGCATTTCCCATCCACCTCTATCATATCCGCATCTGCAAAAAAAATATTTGAAATTCCCGCCCAAATTTTAAACTTTTTCCCACCCACCATCTTTCAAACATTTATCCACTCCCGCGATGATTTTATCCTTCGCATCCTCATCTCCCATGGATGTCTTCCTCCCCTCCTTCTTCATCCAGGCCTTATTCAGCTTATTTCCATTCATGGGACCATCCATGTTTCGGTAGACGCAGAGTTTAGCATACTACCAACCAATTTCAAAATAAGTTCCCATTTCCCACCACAAATTTAAAAAAAAAACTTACAAATTCATCCTCCACCATTAAACAATTCGCCGCGGCCAAAACCCCTTTTGTCACCGTTTCTGGCGGGAAAACGACCGATTTCCCATTGCAAGTCGAGTACGTCGCTATCTCCTTATTCACATCGATGCCTCCCCCGACCTGCAAAATTTCAAAGATTTCAAATTCATAAAATTTCCCCAAATTCAAATTTCCCAAACTTACCGATTCAGAGATCGTCACCGCGACGAGGAATGAAATTAAAAAAAAATTTTTTCATTTGCATTGCATTGCATTTTTTTCTAATTTATTTTTCAGTTTCCGATTTTTTTCCTACTACTTGGAAGACCTTTGGAATTAGAATAACGCCAGAACGGATGCCAACTCTGGTTTTATTGGACTTCAAATTTCGCAAGAGTTTTGTAAAACAATGAACTCAGGAATTTCCGAGGTAACTTGCCACACGTAGGCAACTCGACATACAAAACACGACGTCAACGTGGGGTCGTGCAACGAAAATGTGAAAATCTTAGACCACATCAGTCCTCCTAACTGCGCCTGTATTAGTCTCCACCTGAAAAAAAAATCATAGAGAAATTTCTGATATTAATCCTAACCAAATTTATGAAGGCTCCAGTAATAAAAAAATTCCTTACAAAATTTAATTACACTTTAAAACATCCTCTCGTCTCGACATTCAATTAATCACCCAAAACCATTGTTCCGATAGTGGAAATTTTTCAAATTATTGTGTAACCATTCTTTTATGCCATTGTTTGAATTTACCACGTCACGCTTACTTTTGAACATTTCTATTTTTTTCAAAATTTTGTAAAAATTTCGTGTCAGCTATTTTCATGTGTATGTATAACGTATTCTTGAAATTGGTCAAATATTAAATAAAATTTAAAATTAATTTAATTTAATTAAATTTGATACTTTGTCAGTCGGCAATGATGCAAATAAATATAGTAAGTTAAATCTCAAATTCTGACATTTATTAGAAATTCATCAAATTAATGGAGCACCCACAAAATCTGGCATCAAATGCAACCATACAGTACAATAAGACTCCTCACCCTCCACTAATTGCCAAAATAACTACTTCAAGTACCTACATTTACAAATATCTCAAAAACTTAGCAATCAGTTCTTCCTCCTCCTCCTCCAGAACATTACCACCTTAACAAATCCCCTCCTAAAATCAGGGTTACAGTAGGCATAAATACACGGACTACAGGCCGAGTTCGAGTAGCAGATTGCCACCGTTGCCGCCGAAATTAGGGGATCGGGTCGATCTCCTTCCGGAATGAAACCAAGGATGACATACTCCACGGTAAAGGGAAGCCAGGTCACGACGTACGCGCCAATTATTAGTCCCAGCATTTTCGAGGCACGGCGACTCCTTCTCAAACTCGATTCCTCGTCTTCCACGGTTTTTCCAATGATGACACTTGTCCCCCTCTACAAGCCGTGCCCCTTCCCTTGGGGATTGTCACCATGATTCCGCAATTTTTCCAACCTCTGCCGCAACTGTTGGTAGATGGCGGCGTACGTTGATACCAATAAAAATCCGTCACGTTACGGGGCCTGGGGCGATGGAAAGAATTCTAACAGGTCAATAACCTCACAGCTATTTTTTCACGTTCCTCCAAAGATCTTATGTTCCAACACAAATCTCAAGTTCCCCAAAATCCTTTCCCAACAAAGACATAACCACCTAATCGAGGGCTTAATTCTAAAATGTGCAATCTACATCTTAATTTTAAAAAGTGCAAAGTGCCTTCATTTAACACGTGTTTCGAAGGCACTTAGCACCTTTTAAAATTAAGCCAACGATACCCATCACATATGTAAAGCTTATCGGAATCATTAAATTTCTCAATCTCCCCATGCCCCGTAACCCTACCAGTAGCGCCACCGGTACAACGAAACTTCCAAACGCCACGTGGACACTTAACTCCCTCGAAATATTCGACAAGCACATCCCTATCTGCACACTGCGGTCCCCCATTCCCCCCCAATCTCGCATTAATGGCGCGATCAGCCACAACGTCACCGCCCAGAGGAAGCAGATCCTCCTCGCGAAGAAGGGGAAGGTGCGTCTCCTCGTGTACGTCAGGGTGTCAAAGATCACGTGGTATCGATCCATGCTGATCGCGATGAGGTGCAGGACCGACGACATGGTCAGCAGCCAGTCGCCGAGGAGGTAAATCTGGCACCATTCCCTACCCCAGGGCCAGGGGTGCCAGCCAAGCTCTCCAATCATGGTCGGCGCTAGGAAGAGGCCGACTAAAAGGTCCACACCTGCTAGGGAGAGGAGGTAACTATTCTGCGGTTTTCTGACCGGTTTGTAAAACAGCCAGGCTAGCAGAACCAAACCGTTGCCCAGGATGGCAAAGATGCTGATGAGGGTGAGGAAGATTATCAGAGGGATTCTAGCACACGGGGAGAGTTCAGCCATTTGTGTTTCTAAATGATCCTCTTCGTGACTATGACAGAATTGGACGCCCTTAGAACTTCTTGGTTTTCTTAGAGGACTTGACCTGAATAAATGCGAGAAAATATATTTCACAATATTTATTAAATATTTTATTGCACTTTCCGAGCTCGCAGTAACGTTGTTTTTAGTACAAGTTCCAAAGTCAAAACTAAAATCTCCCTGCTGTGGAACACCTCATAATATACCTTACACAAATATGCACGTGTAGCGCCAAGGTGAGACTTGTCACTCAAAATTCACAACACAACTCTGGATGACGTACAAACTCCTGGCTGAATAGAATACCAGTTCCCATCATCCAATTAGCGCCCGGGGAAAAATAAATATTAAATATTCAGCTAGCAGGGTTCCGGAGGAAAATATCGGTTGTAATTATACCCACCTATTTAATAATCCCTGCAGACCCCATTGCGAATAAATACAGTTCAATCAAAGAAATAGACAGACATTACGATTTATAAATTTCCCAACCAATCTATTCAATTTTTTCATGTTTTACTCCGTTATTTTCCACCTTAATTTTCCCGCCATGATGGGATTAACAGGTCGAAATGCCACCCTGCCGACGGATACACGCATTTGTCCCATGGCACAGTTTTATCATTATGTAAGACAACTTTTCATTCCTCGCTCGCAAGATTTAACTTATCCCACGAGTATTCATAATTACCCGTAAGGTTAACATGGGTCCACATTTTAGGGAAGGTACAGCTTTGCAAATTTCTTGCTCAAACAAATCTCGAATTATAGTGAAGATCAAGTCGATTTAATTGATTAGCGCCTGATCACAACCTTCGTCTTGCTCATTACTAAATAAATCACCAAGATTGGCGAGGTCGAGTTTTTCAATGTCAGAGACAAATTAAATCGACACATTTATAAATCTGTACATGACATCAGACAGCGATATTTGCTTTCCAAAGTATTACCATATACATGGGTTGGGTTAAACTAATAACCCACAAAAATCTGGATGTAACATTCATTTTAAACAAATTTGTTCTTTCGAGATTTTGCATATTTCGAAATTCAAAAATGCCAACAAACTCGAATTTTCAAAAATTTTCGAAATTGAATTTTATATTGTAAAGGAATTAAAATTAAGCATCGATGTTTTTGATTTCTCTAATTCTCGCCAAAATTCAAAAGGCTACAGAAATTTGAATATTGGAGATCTTATTTGGAAAAAATTTAAAATCCCGTCACGCGCTCTACTTCTAATATTGAAAAAAACACCAAAATAAGAGTCAGCTTATTCCTAATGATCAACAAATCAAAATTGATCCCATCAAGATGGGAGTTTTAAATGAAAAAACTTTCCCTCTAAGTAGTAGATCTTGTCCTTGAAACTTTTCAAGTTAAATTTATTTTTCTCAATTTAAGCATAGGTTATCATAATATCTTGAATATTATTGTACTTTATTAAAACCGCCTTTCCTTACTGACCAACGCATCTGGTCACTCCTTTCGTGCCGTTCTCAGTATAATCCCTCTCAGGATCAAATCTCGGAGGAAAAGGGTTTCCTGGATAGGTCCATTCCCCCCTGGAAGAACAGTACCGTCGCATAGCCCCCAACAAATAGTAGCCTGGGTCACAACTAAACCACACCATTGTCCCTGGGGTGAAGTGGAAAGTGTTCTTACTGCCATTCCGCGGGGTCGGCAACCATCCACAGGACACAACTTTGACCAGAGATTATTATTTACAAAATTATCTAAACCCTCAACATAATTACAATTTAGTATTCAATTAAGAAAAAACCTGGTTTTAGCCCGTTATTCCTGATGTCGTTGTACTGCCATTGGTACACCTTTGTAAACCAGCCCGCTTCTCTACTCCCTGTAACGGCGTAGTCAAACTTGCATTGATACGAATCCCTGCAATAATCTGACACCATCACTACCGTCAAGTTTGTACGACCCCTAGAATCAAATTTTTGCGTTGAACACGAAAAAACTAAATTTATGCACTTACCCCTTCCCCTGGAGGATTTTCGAGACTTCAAGAGTTGAAACCGGGATAAACTCGGCATCACTGTAATTCCGGCTAGATCTGTGTGGCGGATAAGAAAATAGCGACTCATTCTCGGAAACTTTCCCTATAGAGTAGAAAAAAATAGAAGTTTTGTTTATCTAACCCAGAAACATTATCCAAAATCACTTACAATGTGTTCCAAAATTTTGGTTAAATTGTTCTAAATCATAGCTAATCTCTGTGGCGACCTCTGTCCCGTCTCGCAGCGGAAACTCTCCTTGCCACAAGTTATCCCACTTTCCGAAAAGACCCGTAGTCGAGTTCTGAGAAAGTCAGGGGTTACTCAATTTCTAAATATTTCCATAAAATATAAATTATTCCCGCTCACCTTAAAACTCGTCGGTAGGTAGACTCTAGCCGCAGTATGACCCTTATTTTCAACAACCTCCACACCAGCGCCGGATTTGAACATGACAATCACAACGGACTGGTTCCGCACGTAGGTCGGCGTGTACACGGTCACACCTTAAATTTTATTCAGATAAGAACTTTCCCCGCCAAGAAAATACCAAATTACCCGGGAAGTGTTGCACTTTTTGTGGATCTCTATCAAAAAATACTTTCTCCCCGTTCACAAGAACATCCAGTTTGTAGCGCCATCTCGCTTCCTCGGGGCGAAGTCGGACTTCCACTGTAGCAGAGTTTCCTTCCCTGGCGGCAATTACCGTTAGCTTGGTAGAATTTACCGCTTTGCCATCCTCTCTAGGGGCGGGCTGTTCAAATCGCCCCTGAATCTCTAACTGGCTAAAGTTGCTCTTAAGCAGAACAAATTCACCCTTGGGATTAAATGTGAACGCAACTCCGTCAAAAGTGTAGAAGTGGAGGCTACCAAAAACTGTGGCTAAATATGAAATTACCGCTAATATCAATTTCGAAACCAAGTCAAGCTTAACCTAAATTTTACCCAATCCTGGTGGTTCGTATCCCACACAATTTTGAGAAACTCTGACCTCCTCGAGAAAATCATAGCAACCCGGACTCCTTTCCGAGTTCCAGACGCAACACGAATAAAACGGGGCGACATGGTGCAAATAGTGCGACAAGGCAGGAACCTGAATCGAATCACCGTTTAAATCAAAATTATTTAAAATCGTTCAAAAATTTAAGAAACCTTGTAAGTTTCGTTGAACGGGTGCGCGCCGTCAGCATGCGATCGGCGTGGCTTTCCACCCCAAACATAGTCATAGCTCAACAAAAGATCACCGAATATATCGTAGCAGCATTGTTGACCTGCACCGGACTCACTACATAAAAAAATTGATTTTTCCAATATTTTGTTTCAGCAGGTGGCCCACAAAAGAAGGTGCTCTACCTACGTCGGAATTGCCGAAATGACACAATGTTTCACATTTTGGTTGAGCTCACAATTGGAGTATCTGGCATCTTTATCGCACCCTGGGTCAGGGAGGAATCGGCCCACGTCACTGAGTGCTTGTGTCAAAGTGCAAGTACAAATTGGAAGCTGCCGATTTATTTCGCAATGATATTAACGGTTTCTGGTAAAATTTAAATCCCCCGCAAAAAAATTAAGTATCGCTTGTAAATTTAGTTTCTTACCTGCAACGTGAAGTTTGGACGATGCCTTTCTCTCGCTAGCCATTCCTGGCAGGTGGCGTTAGTCTGAATAATTTCAATATTTCCTTGAAATAGGACCAACGGGACGGGATGACTCCACAAAATCCTGTATCGAACATTCCCCATAAAAAGGGACCCCCCTCTATCACTAAATATTTATTTAAAACTCACGGATTTAGGTGACCCTCAGACAAATTTGCAAATCTAACCGATACCAAAGCTACTCTCGCCTTGTCAAATAATTCTTCCCCAGATTTCTTAAATTTCGAAGTGTTCTGAACTTCGTATGAGCCACTGTTCGGAATCGCTTCCTTTAAAGAAAAATATCTTAATTGGATTGATGACACTTAAAATGCAGTTACATAACTTGGTTATCCCACTCACCTCCAACGTGCCTACAAAAACAATTTCGCCAAAATTCAAATTTTCCCTGTACTCCTAGACTTCTAAGGTCACAAGCGTGTCCCTATTTTCCGTCAGGTTTTTATAGTCCCACGTTATCGTGGATAGCTTCTTCTTTTTGATGTCACTTTTGGGAAAGCGCACCAACTCAGGCGATCTTGTTGGTGACTCTACAAAAAACCTCGCCCGCCATTCGGCCCCCTTAGTGGCGGTTCCGTTCACTTCGGCGCCAAATGAAACTCTGATGTAACCAGCCGCGAAAATTTGCGGCATCACACAGCTTGCCCGGTTTCCATTGATGACGACAGCTTTTACTTTTTTGTCGCGAAATCTGATTCAGTTTTACACTAATTTTTCCTTACCCTCGCATTTTATCGATTCATAAGCGCTTACCTGCAGTAATACTCCTGCGATGAGTTGAAACACGGCCCTGTCACGTTTACAATTGTTCCCCCCAGCATGTTCCCGCTCTCCGGGGCGACAAATAACCTTCTTTTGTCTTCCTCTAGGGAATCATTTCCCGCTAAAAAAAGTAAGCTTTCAAACACAAAACTCCTCTCAGTACGTAGCTCATTTCTCACCACATTGGCCAGGCAAAATGGCTTCGTCCACCCTAAAAATGTAGCGACCCGGAAACCCGTTCACATTCCCAGAGGTCAAGAGGTTCCTGATGGTGTCTGTTTGCGCATACTCGAACGCCGCAGATCCGTTCCCGGCATTGAATCCGACCTGAATTCAATAAATGGAATGTATGATAGGTCATTTTTAAAATAATTATGTCAACTACAAAAGCTGTCCTTTGACCGCCTATCTCCTGAAGTGGTGTTGTTCCAATATGGTCGTAATTGTAGATGACATACGTCCTGACTTCATCCGTTACTATTACGGCTTGAAATGTCGTCGTCTGTAAATATTTTGAAAAACGGAGGTTTCAAAGTTTTTAATTAATTTCTCCCGCTGGTCAATTAAGGATCATATGCAGGACACTTACCATATCATCCCCTTGAGTGGAACCTCCCACGAAATAAACGTTTTTCCACGTTGCCACGATCACATGCTCCGGCTGGAACGACTCTGCCCCTATGATGCCTTCCTGTACGTCCCATCGTGCACGTTCCCGCCATTCCACGCCCACCTGATCAGTTCTCCTTCCCAAATCTCTCTCCACCCTGACAAAAAGGGACACAACATTTACAAAATCCTAATCAAATTGATTTATTTAAAAAACTTAACGAACTGTAAATAGACGCCTGCTTTCTTCCCATCTGATGGCGGATGAGGCCCAATTTCGTACTCCGAATATAGCGGGGCCACCATGGCTGGATCGAGTTCTTTTGGATACTCAGGATTTGGAAACACGAACCGATAAGTTGGAGAAGATTCGGCAGAACTGAATGATAAATGGCCGTGAAGCGACACCTACATACGTATTCCTTCATTTATTTTCGAACATTTCGTAACGTCGTAAAATTCGTAAGCTCGCGCCTCTTTTTGAATGTTTTTTTTTTGTGAAAGATTACCTTACAAAATTTAGGTTCTCTAAAATTCAAGTTCTACCCTGCCAACTTATGTCAAGATTTTCTTGAACGTTTTTTAACTTTTCGGTCTTGACAAAATGTTTACGATTTTTTTCAAACAAAACCGCCTCAATTGCGTAAGGTCGCACAAGCGTGATAACCATCTTAAAACTGTTCCCGTCAATTACTAACTATTTACGAAAACCCGCTTGAAATATTTATCCATGTCCATACCTGTACAGCCTCACTCATTGATGAAAATTTGAAGCTTCACACACGATGAGGTGATGAAAAATGATGAAGCTTCGTGATGAAATTGAAAGATTATATATAAAGAGTGAAGGTGAGTGAGTGAGAAAAGTATGATGTGAGTGATGAGTGAAGAGAATGAGAAAATATGAATTAGAGATAGGCATATACCACTAAATACACTTCCAATATAGCGGTGGTAACTATAGATCTTATGTTAGTCAAGCATTTCATATAAAAAGTTACGAATTTTTCATAAATTTGTGAGTCAGCTGATTATGTTGTGTAGAGAGAAAGACTAAATGCAGCGGAAATAGCATGAGTGATGAAAATGAGAAATGAGTGAGGGGATTCTGAGTGAAGGATGAGTGAGGGTTTTAATTTAGTTGTATGGTGAGTGAAGCTTCAATTGAGTCACCCATCATTGAGTGAGGGGAATGAGGGGTACATTTACTCATGATATAAAAGAGTGAGGGTGAGTGAGGTGGATTTCATTTGCACAGGTATGTCCATGCCAATTACTATATACCCCAAGTCTTACCAAAGAAATGTAGTCAAATTTCTTTCCAAAAAAGGGCAAGTCAAAATATAACACTCCAAAGACGAACTCCGTCTGATTATTGTGTAGCTTTCTCAGATAGCTTCCAATGTTCCGATATGATCCTGTATCTTGGAATGGGTACAGCAATTCGGACCTTATCCTTATGAGCCGGTCAGAAGTCAACACGTACGGCGTATGGATTGGGGGATCTACTTTAGCTCCAGGATGGTAGTAATAAGGGGGTCGAGTAGTAGTTGCCCATAGCCAGGAAAAATCTATACAAAATTTACACGAAATGAGGGGCTCCTATAATACTCCTTTTTAGAAAAATTCGGGATTTATAGAACTACCTACTATGGTCCGTACATTTAAATTACAGTCAATTTTGGTTCGCCACGTAAATTTTGAAATTCAAAAACTACGCCATTTTTTGACTGATTTAAAAAATTTAAATTGTCTTCGAAAGCTCTTGATGAATTTTTTATAAAAAATTTAAAATTTTGAAAATCGGCCTAGAATTGGCGGAGTTTTTGGATTTCAAAATTTACGGGTCGAACCAAAATTGGCTGCAATTTTAATATACCGACCATAGTTTGATAAAGGAAACGAGTTTATAAAATCAGGTGAGAAATGGGAGAGTTTTTGAATTTTAAATTTTTCAAGGTTAACGGTTTAACAAACCTAGCATTTAAAAATAATTTAAGCTAAAACACCCTTCCACATTCTCAACGATGAAGTTGATAAATATACCCGAACATAAATTGGATATCAGCTTAAAAAAATTTATCGAAACAAGGCCCAATTATTCCAAAAAAAACCATTCAAACTGTATAAATTTTCGAATAAAACCATGCTTCTTGTTCAAACCAGATTATTACCAACTTGATAACTGCTTCTTGTCGTTGTCCTTTTAGATGCCCTCCTTGCAGCTAGACACAATTTCAAAATATATATTTCCCCGCAATCTTGGTTTCGCTAATTTTTACCTTTCGTCGTCACTTCTTCACTTGAAAAAAAATCATCGAAATCGTCACAATTTATTATTGACAAGCAGCTCCCAAGCACGAAAACTATTGCTAAAATTCTTCCAACAAACAACATATTTTCTTCAGATACCAGTGATAAAACTAAGACTTGACAATATCCCTCCACTTCTGTAACTGAAATGATCTCGCTTTTGCACAGTTGACACCATCCACGTAAACAAGATGTTTACATAGATATTTAATCTAAATTTTCTGAGAACCACCTACCATTAATTTTACACCACAAGTCTGATTAATTAAGAGACGGCTTTCTAAGAATTCCGTATTGGCCGACAACATGTTTACAGAGAAGATTTACATAGGTGACTCAGGTCAATTCTAGTTGAGAAAGAATATTTGTCGATACTCTGCCTATCCTTGTTCTGGTTGAGAAGAACGAAAAGACAACTCTGAAATTTGCACATCGCCATACATAATTATGTCAATATAGCATGAGAACGACCAGCAGTGCATTATGCTGGAGAAGATGGATACAAAAAATCCAGAGGCACTCATTCAAGCTCATAAATATTTATGATAAATTGGTTTAGAAAATAATTCTATCTGTGTCTTCATGCGTGTAACCCGCCGCATATTATCTGCCTCTGAAAATTTTACTGACATGATCTAAAGTTTAGATGCACATTTTCGAAGACCACATTCCACACGTCCACATCCACATTGTGGTCCCCATGACCACTTTCCACACGTCCACATCCACATTGTAGTCCCCATGACCACTTTCCACACGTCCACATCCACATTGTGGTCCCAATGACCACTTTCCACACGTCCACATCCACATTGTGGTCCCAATGACCACTTTCCACACGTCCACATCCACATTGTGGTTCCAATGACCACTTTCCACACGTCCACATCCACATTGTGGTTCCAATGACCACTTTCCACACGTCCACATCCACATTGTGGTCCCCATGACCACACGTCCACATGTGGTCCCCATGACCACAATCCATAAGTCCACAATGTGGAAATCGACCAAAAGTAAAAGTCTGTAATTTTTCCAAATTCACTTCATATTCTTCCATTAGAAGCCATCAGAGACCTATGTACCAAATTTCAGCTTTTTACGACTATTTTGAAATTTAGGTGCGCCTTACCCTCACCAAGCAAACAACGACAAACAATCCTGATTGTTATTTTTTGTTAGACTGTTGATTTATAAGGTACTGCCTATAGCACAACAATTTCTCTAAATTACTAATTGTTATGCGAGCCCTCCGCGATCTAGCAATTGCACTTGCACCAGCAATAAAAAATAAGCGTTCCACATTTCCGGATGTTGCTGGGAGCGACAATACAGTACGTGCAATTTTAGATAGTACGGAACATAGATGCAAGTTTTCGAAGACCACATTGTGGTCCCCATCACCACTTTCCACACGTCCACATCCACATTGTGGTCATTCTGACCACTTTCCACACGTCCACATCCGCATTGTGGTCATTCTCACCACTTTCCACACGTCCACATCCACATTGTGGTCATTCTGACCACTTTCCACACGTCCACAATCCACACAAAATTTTAGACCACATGTCCACACCACACACCACATGTGGAATCCACATGTGGTTTGAACATCTATGATCTAAACTTCCAAAGTTAACAAGGTATATTTTTTCCGAGATTTTTTTCTATTTTGCCAGCACAATGTAAGTTTTTTATGTAAAACTCTCATCTTGATGGGACCATCAAGATGAGATTTGTTCACCATCAAATACCTATAAGCAGATCGGTATTTCTGCTTTTTCTCTAATACACAAATTTTAACGCCTGGCGGGATTTTTAATGTTTCTTCAACCAAAATTTCCAGTATTCAAATCGCTTTAATCTCTGAATTTTGGCGGGAATTAAAAAAAACATGTACGCTTAGAATTACTTCCTTAACAATATAAAAATTCGATTTCAAAAAATTTTAACAGTCCGAATTTTTTCGGGATTTTGTGTATTTCGAAATTAAATGGAAACTTCTATTGACATGCAGTATGGAGGACCGTTTGGATATTGAGGCTCAAATTGACCCAAAAGCGAATATTTGTCGATCATTTATTTATCAAATTGGTCGACTGGTCTGATTATCTACCAAAAGCTTACTAATTTGAACTATTTACATATTTGTTATAACAAATAAAACCGAAAATTAATTAAGTACAATAAAACGTTAAGTTTTTACTACATCAATAAAGGATCAGCCATAGCTTATTTTTAAGTAAATCGCAGTATTTCATTTCGGACGTCAACTTATCACAATTTTATTTTAAATCCCACCGGACCTTAGTAAGGCACTACTCTCATAGATGTCTCCCTCCTTGCAAAATACTCTCTAAAATTACACTCCACATAAAAAATCAGACCCGCCAAACCCACCAATACAGAGCAAATTAACACTGGCGCCACAACAACCTGAATCGTCATCCTACCAATCCCAGCTTCCCCCTCGGTCTCCCTAACCACCATCTCCTTAACCCAAAGTCGCTGCACCAACCCAGGAATATTGCTTCCCGCCCCAAACCTCCTCTTACTGTTCTCCCTCACTCTTCGATTCGTGCCCAGCAACCAGACCTGACTGGACACGTGGGCATTGCGCTCCCACCACGAGTGAATTCCAGACTCTACCAAACCCGCCATATATCTGGAGAAGCTATCATACACAAAATTGTAAAACATAACCCAAGGCACTTGCAGAGTTACCGGAGTCGGACTTCCATTCGGTATTTCTGTCCAGCGCGAAAATTCATTCAAATAATTCGAAAATGCCGCAATATCCCGCTTCACACTAAGAATGGCAAACTTCTTCCCAATATTCATCTCGTTTTTATCAAAAGTTTCACAATCCGACATTCGCCCATTTTTACAAGTTTCGATAGGTTGCGACAAGGAAATATTTCTAGCTATGCGGACCATCCTAAAATATGCGGGAATATAGATGGTACGATTCCTAATTTTTTCTATTAAAT